ATCAGGAGCGGAACAATTACGTGGGAAAAGATCCCTAGTCTCTTCCAACATACACCTGCAACCAGAGTCCAGCACCACAGAGCCCGATGTTCAGGAAGCTGTCCGCCGTAGCCTCCTGCTAGACGTCATCAGTAACTCCACAAAGAGTTCCAGCTCTGAAGCCCCTGCACCCGGTGTTTAATGAAGGTGGGATGTTGGAACATTTTTCTTGGTTGTAATGAATTGAACCTGTTACATGATCGTGATCACACCATCACTGGCCAGCGTTATGTTTTATCACTGATCGTCACAACCATCGTAAACCAGCAGTCACCGTCAACGAAATACTTTTGTGAGATAGCTTAACGCTTGAAGGGGATATAATACCTGCACCAGACTACCACTGCCTTATGACTATGGTACTACGAAGTGGCAAGAAGCAAGGTTTATCGCCGGGCTACCAGAGAGGAACAGAGACAAAGTTCAACTCTTCCTCACAGTGCCGAAAGACTCTATCAGAACGTTAGAGTTTCAAAGTCGATCAATCATGTCGCAACACTAACTGCGGGCAGTTGTCCTATTGATAATCTTATCTGTGTCGCCGTGTATTCAGCATTCAGACTGAACATAATGATTAACGTTTGTCATAAGGAAACTATTTATTAGCACCCGCACCGTTCCGTATATATTAAAAAATCATCATCAACATCATCATCATCATCATCATCATCATCATCACTACCACTGTCTTTCATAATACTTATTATTTATTTAGCAGAAGCTCCAGTTAATTTGTCTCTTTTCATTCACATACTTCAACAATTACAATTTAATAAAAGAGAGTCGTAACATTTCCCTGTTTTCTATTTATCCTTTTACATACAGCTTGAATCAACTGTTCTTCATTTTAGAATGGCGGGCATGGCATGTATTCACCATTACGAGTCGTAACATGCAAACTTAACGGTGTTGTCTATTTCCAAACCAAGCTAGATTACCAGTGCCTACAAATGGCCAGGGTCCTTGCAGACGCTTACAGCAGTACCTACAAAGTACTTCCACATGCAACAAAATTATACGGGTGTCACCATTCCTACATGTATATTGTACAGGGCGTGAATGAGGCGGGTTATCGTAGAAGTATACCAGGTACGTCACAGGAACTTGATGACAGCGAGTATAGCACTATATATTTGAATGGCTCTAAATGAAGCAAGTCTAGATTTTCACTATAAATCTCCCATCTCATTTGGGCTCCTGTTCAACTTATTTGTAGTCCCTTGTTTGAGATTAAGCGTCAGTCTAGTGTATACACAAACACTATATACTGTCAGTGGTAAAAGCAACATGGGTTTTCGGTATCTGTACTTGATGGCAATATATGTTTAGTTTCACTTAATGTCTGAATCATTACTCGGCTTACGAATTCATACATCACATCTGAGTATTTCACAACGGTACGAGGGGGCACGGGTGGCCCAGTAGTCTAAGGCGCCGCGATTCGCTGTGCAGAGTTGCGTCCCTTGGGCACCCCAGAAACCTATGATTGTGGGTTCGAATCCCGGTTCGCCCCGATTATGTTCCTAGGTTTGTCAGTACCTAACCCGTGTTCGTGGGTTTCACCGAAGTGGTAAACGTCTGAGACCTGCATCACTTCGGGCTTTCCTCCCACATTAAGCTGACACGCCGCGATATAACTGGAATATTGTTAAAAGCGGCGTTCAACCCAACTCACTCACTCACTCACAACGGTACGATCGCGTCGATATTTTCTCCAACAGCCTTACTCTATCAAACTTAAAATACATCCCTACTTGTAGACTTTGACAAAACATTCTTCAGTGGAAAATATTTGACAAATAAATCAAATCTCGTTTAAGTATGTGTTAATACTTTTTTAGTCGTTCTTGAGTGCCGCACGAGAAACGTGTTGATGACCACGATGTGCGTGTGCCAGCTGACTCGCGAGTTGATCTTTACCATGGATAGTTTTAGGCTCCTCGCATGCAGACGGGGGATTATAGGTAATACAGAGCTCTGAACATATATCGTTGTCTGGATCTTGTTTTTGTTCAGTTTTTCTCATGATCGGGTGGTCAGGCTCGCTGACTTGGTTGATGCATGTCATCGATCTCAATTGCGTGGATCGATGCTCATGATGTCAATCACTGGATTGTCTGGTCCAGACTCAATACCACGTGTATGTATAGACCCCGTGTGTGTGAGTTAGTGAGTGAGTGAGTATGGTTTTACAACGCTTTTAGAAATATTCCAGCAATATCACGGTGGGGGACACCAGAAATGTACTTCACACATTGTACCCATATCGGGAATCGAACCCGGGTCTTCGGCGTGACGAGCGAACGCTTTAACCACTAGGCTACCCGACCGCCCCAGACCCCGTGTGAAACACACAGTACCGCGAAATATGATATCTACATTATATTCATCAGTATATTTATCATGTGTTACCGACTTAATGGTATAGTAGTATAGCGGTTGCCAGGAGAGCGGAAGGTCGCAGCTTCGATCCCCGGTCGCGTCATACCAAAAGACGGCAAAAGATTGAACCCTTCTGCCGCTCGGCATGAAGGGGCTTAAAGAAGGACTGGTGAGTATACTGTGTCCGAATGGGGGCGGTCGGGTAGCCTAGTGGTTAAAGCGTTCGATTGTCACGCCGAAGACCCGGGTTCGATTCCCGACATGGGTACATTGTGTGAAGCCCATTTCTGGTGTCCCTCGCCGTGATATTGCTTGAATATTGCTAAAAGCGGCGTTAAACTCACTCACTCACTCACTCACTGTGTCCGAGTGGGGTACTCATGTTAAACTGCGGCATGGGATCTCCGTGGGCTAGCGCTATAAATTCGGCATTAGTCAAGAGTAGTACAAGCAGCCACAGACACGTGCATGCATGTCGCTATATATATATAAGTGCAACATTTTTAACCTCACCTCACCTCACCTCGAGCTAGCTCACCTCACCATGTGATCGTCATCTATCAATGGAAGAGACTTTTATCTTTGACCTCCGGATGCGTCAAGCCGTTTGACCTGAAGGAAATGAAAGTGGATCTCGAGGTTAGCTTTATTGCTATTTTACAGACGCTTGCAGCAGTACCTACAAAGCACTTCCACAGCTTTCGTCTCTGTAATACTCAAACCGAAGTGTCAGTTTATAAGTATCATAACATGACTTCACGGAAATGAAACGTAAAAACATGGAAGAGAATTTCAATGCCGTTAACGGTGCTGATCACCGCAATTGCCTAATTACAGCAAAGGATTCACGTGAATGGGTGTGCACGGTGGACTTAGCTCTAGTAATGTAAACGATCGAATATGTGGCTACACAAACTCATGTACCGCTAAAGGGGAGTGTGTCAGAGATGTACCACGAAGAAGCGATTCACATATTCGTAGTCTTTCAGACATGAGACAAGAGATTAACCATGAGTTAACAACTCGGGGAAATACAGCGACGTTACTCCCGCTTCTTCAATGAATACAAGAACGCTATTGCAAGAGTGAATTATCATGACATATCCTGTCATTATGTAATGATGCTAATTTTTTACTATAGGTAATAATATGCATTGTCAATTTGTTCCAAGTATATAATATAACGAATGTATAAATGAAAAAATATCAACTATTTACAAGCATTCATAAAAGACCTTTCAACAAGGATACTTTCACTTCTTTCAGCCACGTCTTGCAAGAAAATATACGCACGTGACAGTTGAAGAAATAAATGGGTAGTTAACTTTCTTAAATCACGTACAACCTTATATATAGAGATAGTATTCCACAGCAATACATGTATGTTAGTATCATCATATAAGTTTTTATATTAGTTTAATGTTAACACTTATCGAAATAAACTATTCCGTCGTAGCTTTAAAGGTTTGTTATCACTTATATTGTGTGAATATCTTAATAACATAATTTATTCTCATGTAGTGAATATATATATATATATATTTATATATTTGTGTGTATATATATATATATATACACCTATTCGCTAGACTTGACTAGTACAATACCCACATTTATATAATGAATAATGGAAACATTACATGGATACATATATATAATTAAAAAAAAATTAAAATGATCTGATGTAATTTTATTATAATACTTCAGTAGGAAGCCCCGTTCTTTGCCAAATTGATTATTTTTATCAAGCATTCGCCTCCACATCACGATGTGATGGTTTGTGACTACTGAAGTGTTGACCTAGATTTCAAACCAAGGCTTTCAAAGCGTACTGACGCACCAACACACTCAGAGTGTTTTATTCAGTGTGTAAATATAGAGCGGGGAATCCGACAATGACCTGTTTAGGAGTGGGTGTCAGCGTCCTTACAACTCGTCACTTCTAAGTTCTTCCCTATTTCGAGGAAGGAACATTTGTCCAACGTTAAATTTACAAATCTTTTGGGGATATCCCTCTTATTTTTAGCGTCACCATTTGCTATATAAATGGAAAGATTGGTACCATGGGGCAATTCGAGCATATCACTTGCAGTACAAGACCCAGTCAAGGTTGAATGATGGAAACCCCAACGAGACTCATCGTATGCATTGCTGTGTTTCTTCTCGTCGCCGACACCCAGGCCTGTAGAAGATCAGGAGCGAAACAATTTCGTGGGAAAAGATCCCTAGTCTCTTCCAACATACACCTGCAACCAGAGTCCAGCACCACAGAGCCCGATGTTCAGGAAGCTGTCCGCCGTAGCGTCCTGCTAGATGTCATAAGTAACTCCACAAAGAGTTCCAGCTCTAAAGCCAGTGCAACCGGTGTTTAATGAAGGTGGGATGTGGGAACATTTTTCTTGGTTGTAATGAATTGAACCTGTATCATGATCGTGATCACACCATCACTGGCCAGCGTTAATTTTATCACTGATCGTCACAACCATCGTAATCCAGCAGTCACCATCAACAGCTTTTGTGAGATAGCGTTAACGCTTGAAGGGGATATACCTGCACCAGACTACCACTGCCTTATGACTATGGAACTACGAAGTGGCAAGAAGGAAGGTATATCGCCGGGCTACCAGAGAGGAACAAAAGACAAGGTTCACCTCTTCCTCACAGTGCCGAAAGACTCTATCAGAACGTTAGAGTTTCAAAGTCGATCAATCATGTCGCAACACTAACTGCGGACAATTGCCCTATTGATAATCTTATCTGTGTCGCCGTGTACTCAACTTTTCCACTGTACATAATCATTTACATTTGTCAAAGATTCAAAGTCGATCAATCATATCGCAACATTAACTACCACTGTATTTCACAATATTTATTATTTATTGCGTACAAGCGCTAGTTAGCGAGTCATTTTTTAAACAGTTTTACAGTAAATGCCATCATTTTAACGTTGTATGTCATACGATCATTTACATAATCTATATTCTCAGCATCACCAACACGATCATAAGGATCATATTTCAGTATGGTATCATTCATACGAAAACACATTTTGTTATTTTAAATAGCTGATCGTACTCTTATGGGGCTGTGATTATGTCCTGTAATAATTTTACTTTTTATAATGTCCGATGTAGTATTGTTTCTGGAAGTTCCTTTTATCGCTGAATATCTTTTCAGGCATTTGACACGCATGAAACGCCCTATTACAGTGACTGAATTCACCCACATGCTTCAACATTATACAATGATAAAAAAGAATCGTAACATTTCTCTGTTGTCTATTTATTCTTTTACATACAGCTTGAATCATCCACTGTTATACATTTTATACAGTTTAAAATAGTGGGCATGGCGCCTGAGGCGCCGCTTTGCAAAACCCTATGCTCGTGTGTCCGAATCCCAGATTCGCCCTGTGGGTTTTTACCAAAGTGATAAACGTCTACAATCACTTCCACCCACATTAGGGGGCACGGTGTGATATAACGCTGCAAAGCTGTTGCATTGTTGCAAGGTGTTCACCCGTCCGAGTTGATTTCTTCAATGAATTGTTCTAAGTTCCAAAGGGGGCGGTCGGGTAGCCTAGTGGTCAAAGCGTTCGCTCGTCACGCCGAAGACACGGGTTCGATTCGCGACATGGGTACAATGTACATGTGTACAATGGTGTCCCCCCACCGTGATATTGCTGGAATATTACTCAAACCGGCGTAAAACCATACTCACTCACTCACTCAATCAATCACTCACTCACTCTAAGCTCCAAGGAGAATGGAGTATTTTATTAAGCGCTGGTGCCATTTTAGTAAATACTGACGGGTGTGATAGGAACTACAGATCCCTCTTTACGTAGTTTTTCTCATCACGGGGTTATCTATGATCACTTCAATATTACTTACTTGTTTGTTTGTTATTTAACGCCGCACTCAGCAATATTCCGGCTTTATGACGGCGGTCTGTATAAATAATCGTGTCTGGACCAGACTATCCAAATGATTGACATCATGAGCATCGATCCATGCAACTGGGATATGATGACATGCATCAACCAAGTCAGCGAGCCTGACCACCCGGTCCCGTTAGTTGCCTCTTACGACAAGCATAGTTGCCTTTTACGGCAAACAGTGGTTGCTGAAGACCTATTCTACCCCGGACCTTCACGCGTTACTTTAATATGAACGAGGTTATTGGTGACATGATGTAACGAAACAGCATACAATACTTTTCTGTGCTTTCAAGGACGACACAACTATATGAAAACAATGAATACTTAATTTTAGTCTATGTGCATATGTCGCATAGCCGGGATCGATTATTCACGTCGTCAAATCAGAGGATGTGGTTTCGAGGCCCGCTGGCGACACATATTGTTCGAAGAAATGTTAAGTGTACCTTAATTGAAATGTGGATTCGAAAAATCTTAATTGAAACAGGCATGAATAATTCCCAACCAACAGTCCATTCGTTAAAAGTAATGGAGTGACGTCACAGATTTGTTTTAGTTATCATTAACCCAAGTGAGTTTTTGTTTAAGCCTCGCTGAATTGACAGCCAGTTTAAAATATTTACGAACATATTAATTATATATCATGGGTTGAATATGTTTATGGTGTGGATCAAATCAGGACGAATGCCGATTTATATGTCAACTCAAACAGGGGCGTATCAAAGAAAAACATCAGAAAGCAACCAAACTATGGAATATGCACACACTTTAAACAGAGACAGGCACACAAATTATAAACAATCCCCATAAAGTTTGCATCGTAATGATAAGAATCAGCCACATAATTAGTTTGGTTCCAGTCTGCGGGATTTCTTTGGTAAGCCTGGATAGGATAGTATGTAAAATGTAGCATTCGTATGTCAATGTACTTAAGTGAGGTATTCCGAATGCCTCTGGTGTTTCCTGCATGTCCTGCTTGAATGTGTTGATTTTTCCATCACAAGGGATAAATATATCAGTGTAAAAACAGTCAAGGACCTTTTTAATAATGTTAATTCTCATTTAATATTATGCTTTTAAAAAGAAATAGAACTTGTTCATAAATTTTGATGTACTTAGTGTATTATATTATAAATTGGTAGGGCTAATTAATAACTTAGATGGTTAGTGGCTGTACCCTCGAGGGGGATTGAAGTAGCGTAAAATTAGTGTGCACCTGAGAGGGTATGTAAGTTCCACATCATTCAAAGTATTTTTATGCATGCCAGACTTTTAAACGTAGTATTTTGTCGTCATTTTAACCTTAGGCTTAACAGGTAAACTATCGCCAGTGACTGTAGGGTGATATAAATCCTACCGGGGTCCATGCAGAAAGCAAAGGTACTGTAAGTCCCCATGGCCCCTAGTATGGTGATCACCCTTCAGTAACTGACGATCTCAAGCCAATTTTTATATTGTGTTGTAAACTTATACTTTCTGTTTTTAAATGTTCTAAACTAATTTTAAATCAAATCTGTTATATTCTAGTTATTGTACTATCCATCGTTGACAGCTTTTTATTTAGTCTAAATGTACGTATTATTAATGTACTTCTCGTCACGATATGGCTGAAATACTGCCGATGTGACGTTAAATCTTAACTCACTCACTCACTTCTCTGACACACTCCCCTTTAGCGGTACATGAGTTTGTGCAGCCACATATTCGATTGTTTACATTACTAGAGCTAAGTCCACCGTACACACCCATTCACGTGAATCCTTTGCTGTAAATAGGCAATTGCGGTGATCAGCACCGTTAACGGCATTGAAATTCTCTTCCATGTTTTTTACGTTTTATTTCCGTGAAGTCATGTTATGATACTTATAAACTGACACTTCGGTATGAGTATTACAGAGACGAAAGCTGTGGAAGTGCTTTGTAGGTACTGCTGCAAGCGTCTGTAAAATAGCAATAAAGCTAACCTCGCTCGCTAAATAAGCTATTGATTGTATTTTTGAATTACATAGTTTGTTAAATCAAAATTACAGTGCTTTCGTGGATCATGGGTTTCAAGTATTGTGGTCTGGTGTTTACACCCTCTGGTAGGTTTTCAGAATGTAAAAAAAACACTATCTGAACAGGCAATAAAAGCTCTATTTTCATTGTATAGAGTTATTAATAGTAATAAGTATATTTCTGTTGATATCCTGTACCAGTCATTTCAATCATTAATTCAACCCATATTGTGTTATGGATGTGAGGTGTGGGGTTTTAGGGAGGCCAATGCAATTGAAAGTCAAAGAGTACATCTTTGATTTATTAAACAGATATTAAGTGTTTAATTATCTACACTATCGGCATATGTTTCAGGTGAATTTGGGGTACTACACCATTGATAAGTGTGCGGTTTGTTACAATTATCAAATATTGAATGGAAATCTTAAAGTGTGATCCAAACAGATATATTAGTATTGTGTATAAAGCTCTTTTACAAATGATGTTAAGTCATCCTAATTAATGTAGAAAGTTGGGCCGTTCTTGTTAGAAAAATTATTTGGTTTTGGATATGTTTGGCTGGGTCAAGTTATTCTAAACCAACTAGATTTTTGTGTCTGAATTTAAGCAGCGAGTTCATGATATATATACAAAAATGAGGTAAATGTTCACTCCGTGTACATGTAATATACAATAAAATGATAAAAGTCCACGTTAGTCCAACATCTTCTTTATATCCGTTTCAGACATAGTACTTTCGCTGTCTCGTGACTGCTTTTCAGTGTAACTGACAATGTTTCCTGGGATGTTCAGCAATTTCCTAGGTTTTCTATTTAGACAAAGGGGGTAGGTATTGTATAATAAAAAGGCTCCCTAAGAAAGATCTATCGGGAGAACAGATCCGTTGGCATTTTCCTATATCCTATGTACCTCAAACGTTTTATTGGGAGTACACCTATTTGGGCGCATTCGTCTTTGTTTCTTTTCCTATTCTTTGATACAATCCTGTTTCGGCACCTCTCGTTTTTTCACCACAAATAATATTTAGTTTAATGTCATGTCGATCGTAGAATAGCATCATCATTTTAATGGTAGAGAGAAAAAAATCCCCCTCCTGTAGTAGTAGTATTGGGGTATAAATCTTGCCCCATCGTGGGTGTACCGGTCTCAGGGTTCCAGGAGAACTACCTATCCTACTGACTTGAGACATCAGTTGGGGAAATCAAATGGCCCAGTGGTACTGTATGTGTCACGGCCGTGCAAGGATCCTCTGAATGTGGGCCCCATTTTCCTATTCGCTCTGACTATAAAACTGTTTTCTCAGCACCATACTCGTGCGACCTAAGCTACTTCATCATGGTAAGCATGACAGGCATCTGTGAACACGAGAACTGTTCCAGTACAACGAGTGTCTTAAGTACAACTTAAACAAGTCCGGTTACATGCATGTGCACAATGAAAATAGTGTCTCGTAGGGTAAGACTGGGTGGGTGATTTTATGGTGTACCGTCATTTCAGGCCCGTATACATTGTAATATGCAAAGCTGGAGTTCTGTATTTACCCTGCCCCGCAGATCCCAACAGCTGTCGTTGAGCCCTACAACTCTATCTTGACAACCCACACCACCCTGGAGCATTCAGATGTCAGCTTCATGGTCGACAATGAGGCTATCTTTGACATCTGTCGTCGAAACCTCGACATTGACCGTCCTACGTACACTAACCTGAATCGTCTGATTGGTCAGATTGTGAGCTCCATCACAGCCTCTCTTCGTTTTGATGGTGCCCTGAACGTGGATTTGACCGAAGTCCAGACCCATCTTGTGCCATCCACACGAATCAGCTTCCCGTTGGCAACGTTCGTTCCTGTAATCTCCTCAAAGAAGGCCTACCATGGACAACTTACCGTGGCAAATATCACCAATGCATGTTTCGAGCCTGCCAATCAGATGGTCAAGTGTGACCCTCGTCACGGCAAGTACATGGCCTGCTGCCTACTGTACAGAGGCGATGTCGTCCCGAAGGATCTAAACGCTTCCATCGCCAGCATCAAGACAAAGAGAACTACCCAATTCGTCGATTGGTGTCCAACTGGTTTCAAGGTCGGCATCGACTACCAGCTACCCACTGTTGTCCCTGGTGGTGCCCTGGCTAAGGTCCAGAGAGCCAACCAGTTGCTCCAGTTGAGCAACACCACTGCTATCGCTGAAGCATGGGCTCGTCTCGATCACAAGTTCGATCTAATGTACGCAAAGCGTGCTTTAATCCACTGGTTATGGAGCAGGGATAGTCCTCCAAAGCCGGTGGAGAAGGACTACGAGGAGGTTGGGATGGTCTCTACTGAAGAATATGGAGAGGAACAGGGAGAAGAATACTGAAGAGTCCTTTAAACCTTACCAGTGATTTCCATTTACCTACTGTCTTACAATATCAAACGTGTTTAACGTAAACGCAACACACATGTACTAGTTGCAATCAATATTAAGAATCCTGAAAAATAAAATTGTGTGATGTTATATGCTACAATAACTACATTTTTTTTAAATGCACAAGGGATGAATCAATATCTGCACTTAATAAATTTTGATTTAAACAGAGATTGATGCATGCCTATTTTTTAAATGGCCGTGTATTGGAAAAAAACAATAAATTGCAATATATTGCGATAGGTATTGCGATATACTGGGAGCTCAAGTTTTTGACAGTAATTGACAATGATTGTACACGCAGATATTATTTTCTACATATTAAAGTTTTTATTACTCAGTGTTCCTAGGTTTGTCAGCACCATACCCGTGCTCGTGGGTTTCACCGAAGTGGTACACGTCTGAGACTTGCATCAATTCGGGCTTTCCTCCAACATTCAGCTGACACGCCGTGATATAGCTGGAATACTGTTAAAAGCGGCGTTAAAGCCAACTCACTCACTCACTCACTATTATTACTCAGGCTTGGCAGTCACCGCCATTTCGGATGCAGGGGAGATAACAAGGAGAAAGAAAGGTCCCTTCCGCGTTTCCGCCGTTTTGTCAATCAATTTCGACTTGAAGCATCATTTGTGAATTAATTTCTGTGTACAATGTAGGCTAAACGATACTTATAATAACGAAACTTGTTATCTTTGTTTTACCCAATAACCCGGAACACAGAAATAATTTCCCTGTACGTATCGTTTGAAAAATGTATTGAAGTATACAGGTTTAGCGGTAATACCATTCTGTCATACCAATTATATTTGATTATCAAATCAAAAACGTTTTCTTCTATGGCGTTTGATACTTTATTTCAATCTATTAATAATCATATCAGCTGTATGTAGTTGAGATACGTTCTGGACGAAGAAGACATTTAATCGCTTCGCGTGAACATCTTCCCGAGGCAAGTGAGTTAACTGACTATAAAAGTCCAGTTTCCACCCTTGCCAAACTAGGCTGGTATTATGGAGTTACATTTTGGCTGGACTAACGAGTCTATGCATAGTCCAATCAAAATCGCGCACCGAAATCGAAATCCGGTTCGTAGAGTGTCATGCAGATTTCGGTCGACTGCAGGATTTGCAAAGCATGTGCACCTCGTTGTCAACAGATGTTTTCTAAATCTTTTCATGTTTTTAATCAAGGTGCTCACGTGATTTGATGCACTTCGCGATGTAAGTCTGGTTTTATCACAATATAGATCTTGATTATCGATCAGATCGTCTAGACTGGGCTCAACCGTTTTGTTTGAAACAAATGCAAGTGATACGAGAGGTTGAATCTGATTGGACAATAGGAGAGGCATAGAAAGGACATAACTCGTAATAGCCACTGGTGGCGCTACGATCGAGCCCAGGAATTCCAGCCTAGTTCGGCAAGGGTGGAAACTGGACTTTCAAAGTCAGTTAACTCGCTTGCCTCGGGAAGATGCGCGTGGACGACATGCACAGTATTTTATTCTCGCCAACGAACGGATTAGGTTAGTTTCACGTGGTGGTCATTCGTAAAGCAGGTATATCACGGTGACTGGACACATGGTCGATAATGTCGGCATGGTTTGCTGTGTTGAACGTCGTCGGTTTACGATGAAGCACAATCAGCCTAGAACAGTACGTTTTACACTTTATTTCCTAAGGTTGAACCTCAACATCAAAATGTAGTCAGGGCCAGACAAACCAGCTCCTGTTCCATGGCTACCCTGAACTGATGTTATAAGTGACATATGGATTTCGGTTCAGACTATACCCCCAGTATCTCATGATTGTTTTAAGAGACGACTTAAATTGGGATCCGATGTCAAGGTATCCTGACGGCGTGGACGGTGAGGATGACAAGAGGGATGACTCAACTTTCCCTTCATGTCGAGCAATATTCCATCAGCTCCAGCCCTGGTGTTTACATTTCACAACTTGTGAGGTACAATCAAGCATGCTCTTTCTGCCAGAATATCAAAGAGCGTCATACGACTCTTGCTTAGAAGTTGCTTGATCACAGTTACAACATTCAAGGCCCCAGTAAAACTTTCAAAAAGTTTTATGGTAGACAATTAGAGAACATTTCCAAATTTGACAAAATCAGTGACAATAACTATGTCCGATTGAATTCTCTGTTTTGACTTGTACCATATGTTCCCGTGTTTTTTAGGTGAACAAATAACTTGCCTTTGCATGTGTTTATGACGGGCGCCATCACTTTTTTATATGCGATTGATGAGTGATATGCGTTTGTTTGTAACAGAATCTAGTGCACATTATACAAATGTGATCACTATTACGTACAGGGTCAGACTCAATACGTTGCTTCTTAAGTCAAAGTACAGGTCATTGAAATGGCTAAATGCTTCAAGATGACTTTCGCGAACACCTGGTATCATCACTATTTGATAGTGATTCATAAACACAAGCTCATGATAGTGTCGGTATCGTACAATCGACTGTGCTTTTGGCAGAGATTTCTATTGAATATGGAAAGGGTTTTTGTTAATTTTACTATTACGTTACGTCTGGTCGGGACTATGTACAGGAGACCAAGATCAAGGCCTTTACTGAAATATTTCTGACTGAAGATTAAAGCAACAAACATCTTTATTGGTTTTGCGATGCTGACCTGAACTGATGCTACGGGGAACAATAGGTCACACTACCCTATGATTGTCGTAAGAATTGGCGATAGAGGACCGGGTGGTCTCAACATAACTAGTGACCCATAAAAGAGCCGACATGTACTGCCATAGATGTACTCCAAACTTCTCGGTAAATATAAAACGTTTTCGCTAGGGAATAATCAGTCTAGATCATCTGTCGGAACAGATTCCATTGGGCGTATAAGGCAAAAGTGTGGTGGGAACTATATAAAAATCAGTGATGACACCAGGAGTTCGTGAAAAGTGTCTCAGCATGTCCTGCTCTACCGGTAGAACCCGTCACTCACACAATTTGTATAAACACGTTTAATTAGTGTTTGTTAGATGCCTAACACCGCATGGCTGCTTGGAAATATTGGAGTCTTGGCCATGCCTCTGTTTGGCAAATAAGAGTATCGTGGAAGTATCATTGTGAATAGTTGTTCGCTGAGCAAGTTTTACCTGACTACATATGATAAGATACTATAGGTGCGGCAATTATTACTAATAATGAAAATATCAATAACTGAAATACAAGTCGATCATGTTCGCAGACATTCGTTAACATTAATCATGTCCAATTTGCTTCCTCAAAAAAACGTCCACCTGAAACACATACAAACTGCTGTGTTGGACGGATATCTTTGTAAGAGTGTGTCTTATTATTTAATGTATGTTATAGATTTCCGATTATTTTTTTGGAGTTTATTTTTTGCTTTTTCTCAAGTGTCTTTCGTTAATTTAATTTGTTATCTGAAAAGGACCATGGTGAAAGCAATGATAATTCAAGAAGTAATTGGCACTTTCACTTTGTTTGTACCAGTGATAAGACGGAGCATGACTACTTATGTGTTATGTTTTCTGTTTATACGTATAAGATGGTACTCTACATCAACGATTTATGGATCTGGGTGTGACACTTAATTTGAAGAATCAATAATTTCTCTCAACATTGTTTGTACAGCTGAGTTACTGTTATATTTATCTCACCCTATGACGTTCTGGCTACACGTCATGAAGCGTTTAAATTTGTATATGGTCTGGGCCAAGTTCCACCCACCGATTAACCCTGTAGAAACGGAGAATCCCGTAACATCAACCTCTTATTGTGATGTAAAAGAAACAATAATTGACCCATATTTGAGTCATGAACAGGTCATAATTTTATGTCATAACTAAGTTATGGCTAAGGAGCGAGTGTGTGTGTTAGGGGGTACGCCCCTTGTAGCAATAAACCAGCCGTATCTTGTGGGTATGACGAATACCAGGGTATCGAATCCGGGTTTTATGCATGATGAGCTTATGCTTGGACAACAAGGCTACTTCATATGGACTTTATTTTTTGGATTGACTAATAGGTTATATAGTTTTGACTACTGCGTCATCATTGTGGATACCTCGAAGGCATTAACCGTTGCTTATGCTATCAACCACTTGGTGATCTACTCGAAACGCTGCTAAATGTGACGAAAAGCAACATGTATGCACTCATGCATCGTTAATAACGTCCCGCCAGTACGAATCGGAACTAACATATTAATAATAGTAAACACTGGGAGATCTTTAGGACCGCCTTCGTGAACTAGTGGATTCGATCCCCGGCACCGAGAGACGTTAAAAGATGGTACTTGTTGTTACCCTGCCTGACGATCGGCATTAAGGGTTATAAGCACTGTATATTGTTTCCGAGGGGTATCTATATTACTTTTGCATGGTATCTCGGTGGATCGGCACAATAAAACTGGCAATAGTCGGGAATAGTACAAGCAGCCACGAACTGTGTACTTCTCTTCACAAATATAATGTCCTAACATTTAATGTAAATCGCATGGATCGTAGGTCAAGTAAGCATAGGTTTTAATTGATTGTCCGTTGGCTGTTTCTTTTGTGGCATCCGCTGACACCACCTAACCAATATATTTGAAGCTGTGCATGCAAGGTTTCACAAAAAGTAACACCGAGGGTTGTATAAACGACCCGATGCGAGTTTCAGTTTGAATGCCAAGGCAACTATGAAACAAAAATCAAGTTAAGCCATAAATGTGTTCCCGCTTTCCTCTTTCGAAAATTTGCAATCGATGTGAACTTGGGCGTAGATGAAGCCTAACCTTGGTATGTAAAGTTCACAAATTGATGTTTTAAAAATAGTTGTCGCGTTTTATTAATGTCGAGTGTCGTATTTTTCTCTGGATGAGTTCGAGTGAGTTACATGGCATTGTTTTTAACACCTGTTTTAACTGCTTCTCTGTTATATCACGGCGTATCAGGAAAAGCTAAAAGAAAATCTCGAATTGAAGCAGG